TGGTACTGAGAGTAGAGTAATTCCCCTCCAATTTTTGCAGTCTGTTAAGTCTCCTTTTTTGGGGATTTTGACTTTTGTTCCTTCAGTCCAGTCATCAGGCAACACTTCTTTTTCCCAAATATCCTTGAACAATGGTTCTAGAATGCTAGCAGTTGTGTTGGGATCTACTTTGAGAAGTTTTGCTGGCAGTTCGTCTTTGCCTGGTGCTTTGTTGTTCTTTAAAGTGTGGATAGCTGTCCAATACTTCACATATTCGCTGTGTTTAAATGTGTTTCTATTTCTTTATGTGACATTCAATTTTGCATTCAATAAATGTCGTTTTCACTTACATTTATATCAGATCTGATTTATGATTTCCACCATGGCTTTTCTAAGTGGACCTTGACATTTATTGAGTAGTATATTTCCACTAGCGATGCTGGATAATGCATATTTGCATGTAAATTTTTTTTTAAACGTATTTGCAAACTTGAAAGCAGTATTTATAATGATTTAGTGATGATATGGCTAAACTAGATTAGTCAGCCACTTAAAACTATTTACCGAACCTTCACAACTCTTCTGTGTTTCCCACTGTTGCTGCTTTCTCATTGTCATGTGTCTTTTTTTTATCCTGAAAGTGCCAATATAGTAATTAGATGCTTGCTAGCCAGCCAGAACAAAGATCTTGAGTTAAAAATCAGCATCAAGTGTGATTTTTAAATTTACCCTGGTTCCCAGGTCAACCCAGCCAAAAAATTGGCATTAGACAAGTAAAGGTAACCAGTCAGCATGGGATTGACTACAACAGCCACCGAGTGCCATTTGCTGTATAAGAATATAAATCTAACACCATGTGCCACCAGCATAAAAAAAGAGTCAGTGGCTTCATTAGATTGTTGAAAATATAATTTACGTGCAGAAAAAAAAAGGCATGTCACCAGAACACCAATACTAGAGTTTCTGTGAGGTTTCTAGATAGATACAATGAAATTGTGATTAGGGTGAGTCCGCCATGTGGGAGTCATGAACATAACAGGCCAAAACACATGCAGAATGTGTGGTGGGAGGGCAGCAGGGGAAATTTTACTATTGCCAAAATCAATGCAAAGCAGTCTGCTGCCAAACTCCCTGCAGCTGAATCAAACCCAGTACAGTTATTTAGTTTTGCTTTCCTCTTGAGCCTAAGGTGGTGCATAGGCCAGAGGTCATAGCTCTCCATGTCTGAACCTAGTATTCTCAATTTTTTTTAAAAACTGCATTCATAACCCTTAAGTCACAGACAATGACTAAAAGAAGAAAGAGTAATAACCATATATATATGTGGTCCTGAGTATTTCATGACCATATGGACACAACTGCTTGTAATTTAATGTAACAGAGGTCACTTTCTTCATCAGGGAAGTACATAGGAATGCAAAAAAAAAAAAAAAAAAAAAAGACAAGATGCTCAATGCAGTGCATTACTGTTTACAGAAGACTTTGTGACCAGAAGTCAGGACTTAGCAATTCAGAGGTTAACCAGCATGAAAAATCTATGTCATAGTATGTGCTAGCAAATCATGTATCTTTCCCGTGGCAACTTATGGATGTGAGTCATGGACTCACCCAGTCTTTAAAAAACAAAAAAACATCTGAGTTTTTGAAGTGAAACACTATAGAACAAGAATAGTGTGGGCTAAAAAAAAAACAACAAGAACAAATGGCTCATAAACAGCATCCTCTCCTGAAAGCCAGGGTATTTTGGACATGTCAAGTGAAATACTGGCCTGAGAGAATGGTGACGGAGGATGCAGTTTCCAGAAAATAAAGCTGTGGCCGATTTCTGCAAAGGTGGATACATGACACTGAAAATGTATTGGTTATGAAACCACACAGGGCTGGAAAAATGGCTTTAAAAAAGAAAATTATAAGTGTGCTGTGAATCGAGCGAGGTTCTGTAAACTACATGCTGACTGATTGATGTGGACTATAAGGCCTTTGTCTCATTCAGTACCAAACAGCTCACCATGTGTATATTGGTAGCCTGCGTGTTTATCGGTCATAAAAGATATCCGTCACTTAAATCCTGATATCCCGCCTAGCTGTTACATTAAGCAATTCTATCCATTTTCTTATTTTAGCTCTTTCTATTCAAAAGATATTTCAGCTCATTTAGAGCCAATGTGTGTTAGTTTCAGGTAGGAGTTACTTTAGACAGAACGAGTTGAATTAGTACCTGCCAGGGACTGAAAGAGTTAAGTAACAAGTCATTTATGTACAGGTAGTGCCATCATAAAAAAGTCAAAGGAAAATAACAGAAGAAACATTCAAATGGAAATCTGTACGCTGTTAACATACACGAGAACTTGTGTCCTTTTGCAGCAGTATAACATATATATTAATCTTCTCTACAATTTAAAAATAACGAAAATAACTAATTTGCCCTGAGGTGTTGATAATAATGCTTCACCATCCAGAACAAATCCCTGCGAAACCTAATTATCGGCTCTGTTACGTTACTTGTGTTGTTTTGTGCACGTTTTTCTGCTTTCCTATTTGGTTAAGCTTTTTAGTCAACTTTTACTGGAATTCATAGTTAATTGTACTGGTTCTGTCTGCATCTGCACAGTGTTTAGATGGGACGGATATGATTATATTTAATAAAACAATAACATGGAGGGAGATGGAGGAAGCAGTTATTGTTTTTAAAAAAAAAAGCTTTTGAAAGTCATTACAATGACTTTAGGGGTCCCATGGCGGCCTGGTCAGGATGGGTTAGTTAGTCAGTCAACAGATTATCCTCACTGCACATGGAACCATTCAGTCCATAGGTGCTCAGATCCCACCCTTAGCAAATCCTGCAGCATGTAGCCGCTCATGAAGCAGGTCTGTGATGGTTTCTTTTTCTTCTTTGGCTTCCTGCATAGTGCTCTTGTCTGACCTAATCACTTTTAACACGTTGCTTATGAACGAGGCACAAACTCTGTTCCCCATGATGCAAAACCAAATCTAAGGATAGCTTTGCACAGATACACAAACTCCATCGCACTGGCGAACATCTTTTTAAAAAAAAAGGTTTATATCCTGGCCCAGATAAGTACATGTAAGAGACGTATCCATCTTTTACAGGAAAATGATCCGATCGCACACAAAAACCACATATGAGTCACCATATAAATATTTTTTACCTGAGTATGTTATTTAATTCTCCGCTTTATGTTCATTGATTACTCCTATTCCTATCTTTCTAAAAACAATTTACTTACAGACACACTAACAATTATTAGTGACCTGTGTGAAATTGTTTAAAGTAATTTCTTTTAGAAGTTCCAAGGTACACGCCCCCCCCCCCACAGGCTTCTGGGGTCACTACTGCGGATGACATTCCAGCTTGACACATTACTCTATCTCTATACAGAATGCAGGGCAGACAGGGAAGTGATGAAACAGCTGGGAGGAAGTGATCACAAACCAGTCATCATCATGATAGGAGAGGTCAAGCCTCCAGAAAATAAGAAGAAGATAGCCAGCTGGAACTACAAGAAAGCAGACTGTGACCTCTACCAAAACTCAACTGAAAAAAAACTATCAGAGCCCTTTCCCGCTAATAAGATTAGAAAAAACACAACTCTTACCAATATCATACTCGAAGCAGCACAAAAATCAATCCCCCGAGGTCGAAGGCAAAACTATGAACCCTTCTGGACCCAAGAACTGCAACAACTGCACCAAAGAAGCACTGAAGCAAGAGAAAAAAATGAACAAGATCCCTCTGACCTCAACATAACAGAACACAATAAACATCAGGCTATTTATAAAAGTGTCCGGACAAGAACAAACTTCAGAGCAGAGCAGCAAGCAATTATTGATTCAGCCAAAGTGCTCAGGGAAAGAAACATTAAAAACAGCAAAATTGTTTTCCTTTGTGACTGCATGTCAGTCCTCCAGTCGACTCATAGGGATCCACGAGACAACATGGAAAGAGAACTGACCCGTCAGCTAAACAGACTCACAGAAAAAAATCAAACTGTTCTCCAGTGGATCCTGGCTCACTGCGGCATACCAGGAAATGAGTTAGCAGACAGACTTGCAAAAAATGGAACAAAGGAGAAACAACACGCCCATTCATTGTAATTACCAGAAATCAGAACACTTATCAAAGGAAAATACAAGGAATTGTGGAGAGAACAAACTAACAGTAAACATCCACAAGACCCCATCAGCAGACTCAACAGAAAGCAACATACAACAATTTTCCGTCTACGAACAGGACACTGCAGGCTCAACTACCACATGCATAAAATAAAGATTGTACAGCCCCCGCAGTGTGCCTGTCAAACAGGACCCCAAACACCTGAGCACATTTTGCAGGCCTGCCCACTCTACCTGCAACTTTGAAAAGACACCTGGCCTCAAGAGCAAACTATGGGGAACCATGCAGGACCTGCAGCTGACATGCGAGTTCATAGAGGCAACCCACCTGATGGTCTGATCTGAGCATACGAAACCGAACGCAAAGAAGAAGAAGAAGATACAGGGGTTATGGGGAGGAGGAGAAGATAAAGTAGCAGTCATAGGAGCAGCAGTGGTAGTTCTGGTAAGCAGGGTAATGAACAGTGATATATTGGCTGCTGCTGCTCCTCTGATTGATGAGCTACTTAAAGATAAAGCATCGATTGGGAAGGCTATCTGAGATTAAATTAACAGTGCAACAGAACAGACAAGTGTATCAATACCTTGAAAGACCAAATATAAGGGGGGTGAGCAGGTGTTCATGATATTCAACAGTGAGAAGAAAACAGAATAGACTTTTAATCAGACTGCAATTGGCCATTATTAGCATGGAGACTTTTTGTTGGCTACTGATGACCAAAACAGAGCTTATGTGGGAATATCCTGAACATAGTGATGTCAATCCTTGATACATTCATTCATGATAAATTCATTCACGATAAATTCATTCATTCATTTTACACAATTTGGTATAACTCGGACTAGATGATGATGATGTCGCCACACTGATTATATTTTGGACTTACCCGGATTCGGTCAGGGCCTAAACCTGGAGGTGGACATCGTTCAAGGTATGTGTTTAAATCCTGATCAATGAATTCAAAGACCAGAGACAGAGAGATATCCCTATCTGAAATCACCTGGTGGTGCACATCCAAAAGTCTGAAAAGATATACACTGAAAATATACCTGAAACTGGCTTTACATATTCACAAAATGCTGCTGTGCGGAAAATATTTAGTGCATAATCTGCACTGCGCCCCCCCCCCTACCAGTGCGAAAAAACAATAGACCCACTGCCCCCAATAAGAAGCGTGTTGTAAAAGGCAACTTACTAGAGGTGTTTCTTTCAAACTGCATTTGTCTAAGAGTTGAGGAACCAACAGTCTGCATACTAAAAGCAAGGTCTGTAAAATTATTATATATGCAAAAAACTCAAGCCTTAGAACAAGATCAAAGTCCTGAAGAGTTTACAGCTGGTGAAGAGAAGAAGATCTGCAGCTCATCATATAAAGGACAAGTGGCAGGTTGTGCTGTGGTTTACAGCTAGGGTGCGATATATGTGCCTTTCAGTCCAACACATTTAATTTCAGCAAACTCCTGACTACAGCATTGCCTTTAACAGCATGCTTCTTAGGGAGCCATAGATTTGTTATCCCCCCTCCCCCCCCCCCAATTGGGGTCCCAGAACCTAAACAGGGCCAATCCCCAGCACTGTCAAATGTCTCAGTTACAGTGCAGACCTGATGAAGAGAACTTACAGGAGACTGGTTCTTCCAATCAGAAATTCCTCTTATCCAGGTGAGAATTCAAGCATAACAAATTGCCAGGGATAAACAAATTGTTCTTTACAAAAGAAAATCGCCACATCCGAGATCACCTTAAGAAGCAGTCTGCATTGTATCATGTATTATGCAGGTTAAAAAAAAAGGAAAGGACTCTTTTCATGCCATCAGCGCATCATGTATGTGGAATTAGTCTCAGTTGTGGTGCAGACCTGATAAGCAGAAGTTACAGGGGAATGGTTCTTACAGTCAGAAATATCTCTTATCCAGGTTGGAATTCAAGCAAAACAAATTACCCGGAAAAAACAAATTGTCCTTTACAACAGAAAATCGTCACATCCGAGATCACCTTAAGAAGCGGTCTGCACTGTATCGTTTATTATGGAGGGGAAAAAAAATTAAATGACCCTGTTCATGCCATCAGCGCTGCATGTATGTGGCATTAGAAACCAATACATTTATAGACTAATCAACATTTGATGGATAATGTAGACAAAACCACATCAGTCACCTTTACTTCCCAGGACATTTCTTAGCACCGACTTTAGGCTGGGAGCCTAGGGTCAGCTAAAAAAAAATCCATCCTGTTGCAGCTTCACACCTAAGACCTTTAAGCTGCCAAGTATGTATCTAGCTACTCAGCTACCGTGGGTCGATCAAGTCCTAAAACTGGATGATAAGTTTTTTTATTTTTATCAGTCAACATTTTGCTCAGGATTTTCTGGTATGGGTCATGGAAAGGACAGTATTTTCCTGGGGATCTTCACTGACCACCCAACAATTATCTTGTAGAGATCTGATCAGCAAGTGGACTATTCACAATGCTTCCAAATTCAACAAGCTTTATGGTTCGAAAATAATTATGCTGATAACTGTGGGCACCATTCCATCTTTCCAGCCGTCACTGCTATAAAGACATCCAGAAATAAGTGCAAAGAAAAAGATAATTAAAAAGCACATTCATTGCAACACTGAGCTACCAGTGCCAAACATGGACATTATCTAAGGCCCATGTACACAAAATCACCACTTGCGACATGAGATGGCTGAGAAAAGCCGCCAACTTAACCATCCAAGATCGAGGAGACAGCTTGTGGGAGCAACATCTTGCACTAGATTCATTAAGAAACAGAAGATGAAGTGGTCTGACCATCTTGTTAGAATGCAGCAACATCAAATACCAGCACAAGTAATACATCTGAGAAGATCAGTTACAAGAGCAAGAAGATGGCCATGTAAAAGATACATTGACAACATTTAAGAGACTTTAGGCCTCCACAGCACGAGAATAGCCAGCGTGCACTGGATTGCAAATAGTTCCTCCTCATGTCACGAAAGATGTGGTTTATGATAATGACCAGTCCGACTTTCCAGATGATGGTGTTATATTGTACTACAGAGAGGTATGGAAATCAGAGTCCATGGCGATGGCAAGTGTGACTAGCAAGTCACGCTCATATTAGGAAAAATCTGCCACAATTAGAGCATGGGATTTCACAACCATTCTTGCCATCACACATTAGTCACATGTTTCTTCTCAGATGCCTAGCCCTGAAACTTTATGCAATCATTGTCACTTGTATCACTATTCCTTTCATAATTTCCCCTCTCCATGTAACAAAGTCCACGGCATTCTCAACAGTGCAAGGCCTGGGCAGTACTGCAGAGATCTCATGTGTGTCTCATACAGCATTATCCCTCTCTACCTGTCTTGCATGCTCCAAAGGAAACACCACTATGTTTGGAACAAAGCATGCTGCAGAAGCTGCTGAATCAGAAGAGCAGTTTTGTCTGTTTATGTTAAATGCAGCAAAGACAACATATGAAAACAAAACTCACTTGACAATGTTAGGATGCTCCGTATTCTCCAGCTGTTTCAGTAAGGCTATTTCTCTGATAGCTGCCATGGGCATACCAGCTTCAAAATGTCGGCCCTGCCTACGAACCACGATCTGCTTGATAGCTACGAACGCACCATTCTTGCTCTTATCTCTGGCCTTGAACACTTGCCCATAGGCACCTATTGGCAGCAAAACAATAATGTTACAAAAGAGCAATTACATAAAAACATTCATTCTATGACACAAGAATGTGATATTACAAAGAATTAATTGAGAATTGACATCACTGTTCTCTGGATATTCCCACACCTGCTTTGACTCCTTCCAAAGAAGAGTCACACACCTGCTCTGACTCCTTCCAATGAAGAGTTTCTATGCTGATAGTATCAGTTGCAGCTCAACTAAAAGTCCACATTTGCTTACCCTAATAACTGAAGGTTTCAACAACATATATTATGTTACAAAACAGCATTTACATAAAACAACCATTTTATAACATAGGAACACAATCTGTGACAATAAATTTATCAACAGTGCGGCAGAAGCACAAACCAGCAACAACAAAAATATTTTACAATGAAAATACAAAACAACAATAATGCAACTAAAAACAACAGTGGATTAGCAGAATACAATACTATTACCATTGCTAAATTTAAAACATATATAGTACTCATAAAACACTTCTTAGGAAAGGGTCACTTATGGGAATGTTCCAAATGCTGTGATGGTTCTTAACTCACTTTGGTACTCCAGTGCCATTAACTCTTTCATTTTGACCAAATGTTTCTTGATTATTAAAAGATAAAATTATGTTCTGGCTGTTTTCCATCACAGACAGGCATAAAACCCTTTGTATTTGAAATATCAGTTTTATTATTACTGTCCCGTAGTGTGTCTGCTGAACTCAGACCAAAGCATTTACAGTTTGAAAGTCCACTTCCTTGGGATAGGAGTTAATGGAACAACTGCTTGGGGTTGAGACAGTATTACTTTTGCCCCGTAGCACTAAAAAAAATGGACCATGACCCTGTAGGAATACCAGAAAAATCCTTAAAAAACAAATTACCACAGGTCACGAATATATTTAAAAAAAAAATATGTATTTACATTTCCCCCAAAATATACACATATAAAAAGGGAGTTAAAGATAATATAGAGAGAGAGTAAAGAATTAAATGGAATACATTCGGGGGGGGGGGGGGGGGGGAGAGAATGTATTCAGTGACTCATGTTGTGACACAGTGACCATATCACTATTCACAGAAAAACACCCCTAAATGCTATTTTTGGGTAATATATTATCTTTACTGTAAATTCCGTCTGCTTACAAAGGAGAGGGTTGTTGATTTTAATTGTAAAAGCTTCCGCCATTCTCAACAATCGCCTATTTGTGATAAACCACAAGAATATCCCAATCTACTAAATGTTTGTGCAGGTGCAAATTCAGCAAATAGCATTAAATATGTGTAATGCAAACATGTCACTAGACAAGTCAGAAAAAGGACATTTAAATGGAGAATTGGATGAAAGTATCAGCTGTACGGATTTCTTGTGGCAACAGGAGAATATGTTTATATCTAAATTCTCCAAAACCAAGTGGTGCAAGAGGGCAGACTTGATCAATGCCTTGTCAGGAAGCATTACTTGAAAACAAAATCCCAAGGCTGTGGGGTCCCATTCTGGGAGGGAAAAAGAAAAGACCCACAGCTCCCTGTGTTGGTTCCTGGGCCTCATTCGAGAGGGGCAGGTAAGGGGGGAGAACAGAACCACTGTCTTCAGGCAAGTGTTTAGCCACACCATGGTGTCTTCTAGAGTCATTAGTATAACATGTTTAACTCAAGAACCAAGCACTCCAGCATTTCAGGTAAAACTGCTTTTGTCAGAACAAGTTAAAAGTGCCTGGTACTAAAAAACAAAGGTGAAGACTTCAAGGCAAACAGCTTAACCACAGTGCTACAGAAACCTCCATGGATGATGATCAACAGCAAAAAAACTTGTCACAACAAAATGAAGACCAGTCACAACAAAAAAGACTAATAACCTGTCAGTCCTGACCTATGGGTGTGAGTCATGGACAATGACAACAGCTCACAGAAGCCACCTTTAGGCCTCAGAAATTAGGATATCTGAGAAAGGTATTCCAAGTGACAAAAAAGGGATACAGACAATACGTCAAGGTCTTGCTACCCAATCCTTACAAACCTAAGTGGATCAGTCACAGTTACGATGGATTGCACATGTATACAGAATGGTAGAAAATCGCCACCATGGCAGGCTGAGAACCAGACCTCCAGGACCCACTGGGAAGACAACATCCGACAGTCCCTAATTGACAGAGGACTGATATGGAACAAAGCCAGAAAGAAAACTGCTGAGACAACTGGCTATCTCTTTGGCAAACCTCTACAGCCCAAGGTAGAAAAGAAGTGACTAAGTAAGTAAGACAACTAATAACGGGACTTGTCACAGCAAAAGACTGTTTTATAACAACAAAAACAAAATGAGTCAACAACTGCCATCACAGCATTCAGGGCATTCCCATAAGTGCTCGACCCTCATCTTCAGCAGCCAGATAAGAGTTCCAATTCTGATGGTACCAGTAGCAGTTTAATTGTCTTCTACTGCTTCTTCTTGTTCACTGGCTGTAAACTCTAGCGGAAAGTTCTGATTGTTCGTATACCTCTAGACTTTAGCCTTGTTCTAGAACCTGAGGGTTATGTGCACACCTGTTTTACATAATTTATTTGTATGCAGACTGTTCGTTCCTTGCCTCTCAGGTAGATGCACTCTGACTTTGAAGCAAGCTTCTACTTAGTCGACTCTTACAACATGCTTGGTACTTTCTTAATTTCCTACCCCTAACAGGGAAAATCCACAGGTCATCGGACAGGCTACTATTTCAGGGGGTGGTAGATAGGCTGCATGCAGTCAGGTCACCGAGGCTGCACTCTCTCTTAGGATGTAGGTGGGATGGGGTTAGGGACAGTTCTAAACATTTTGGGGTTGTTTAAAAGGGAAGAAAACCGGGAAACCCAGTCTTACCACCCTGGAAAATGTTGGACTGTCTTGTGATGTCATCTAAGGTAGGATATTAGGAAAGAAGGACATATTAATTACAAAACCAGAACACAAAACAATAGTAAACTGACCTGATCCCACATGAGATAAAAACTCATAATTTCTGTCGCCAATATCCCGGACCAGGAACCTTGGCTGCTGATGAGAATATCCTGTCGGGGGGTGACTATTGCACTTAGACTGTTGCTGTTGTTGATTCTGATGAGGTGAGTTCTGCTGCTGAGGGTGCTGCTGGCGACTTGGCTGTAACACCTGATGTTGTCTGGAGGCCTGTACCAGCTGTTGGTGCTGTGGGGAGCACAGCAGTGGACGCTCTTGCTGCTGCTGGGCAGGCAGCAAACCTGAAGGCATTTGTGAAGAGTTTGATGCCTTCATGGCGCTAACAAACTAGTTCGCCACTCACTCATACCTAGTCTCCATTTTTACCCTGGAAAAAATAGTTGAAAAGGGGGAAAAAAACCATTAATAAACTAAAATTATGTGCTATCTTTACATTGAAACTGTCTTCTAATGTCAGCCTTGTGTCCACACATAAAATGAAATCTTTGTCTGAGATTTGGATAACACATGATAAAGAATATTCATGTCTGTGTTATAGTTATCAATTGTTGTCCGTCCTATCCACCCCCCCCCCCCCCCCCGGTTTTTTCCCGACTTCGATTTAGTGTGAAAGGACCACACACATGCACACACACACAAAACGAAAAGTCGAAAATGTAATTGCAGTGCTTGGTCTATGAGAATGAACACCCCAGTCATGTGTATTGATTTTATGGCCTTTAAGCGGCAGCAGAAGTCACATTAGATGAAAACTGTAATTATGTGGCACCCCATCTATATGTTTTTGCTGCTGTATTTGATTAGCTGTCAGGTGGGCTGCGACACAATGATCCGTTCTGGGGGCATCGCTGTAAACATGTTGAGAAGCGATCTAGAGGTCTTCTTTAAAATTATTATTTACCGGCTGTAAACTCTGGCAGAAAGCTATGTCTGTTCTTCCAGTTCTGGACTTCAGTCTTAATCCTAAATTGAGTTTTGCACGCACATCAGTTTTACAAATTTTCTGTATTTATATGCAGATTGAGGTTCAGAACTTTTTAGGCAGATGCACTCCGACTTCAAAGGAAACACCCTAATTAGCCGACTTGTAAGGCAAGCTTTGTAGAGCGCAGTAGATCTATTCCCCCCCCCCCCCCTCCCCTTACAACAGGGTCCCGGAAACAACAAAAGGAATCTAGGGGGTTACTTTTATTTTTATGTTTTCTAGTGTGTTGTAAATCTACTTCTTTCCCTTACATCTATGAGAGCCAATCAATATATGTCAACTTATCATGCCTTATGAGCAGGAAATCTCAAGCGTCATAACCTGGTATAAGTTCATCAGGTTCTTTTGATGATTTCATGCCCCTCCAGTACTAGGGTTCGATTCTGTATGTGGGCGGTTTACTGTTTTCATGATTTTTTTAATGGTGGTATGAGTGTCTAGGTACATGGATAACATCTGATAAAGAACAGAATAGGACAAACCAAAACTAACTTTTATAAAAGGAAGAACATTTTATGGAATAAATCCATGTCATTGGAGGTTAGGAAAAGAATTCTCGCATGCTATATAGAGCCAGTTTTAACATATGGTTGTGAATCGTGAGCAATTATTAAACAAATCAAACAATATGCTAAGGCATCTGAGATATGGTTTTACAGACGAATCCTTAGAATTCCTTGGACAGCTAAGAAGAGTAACCCTGATGTTTTAAAAGAGGTGAGTGCTCAGAGACAAATTATCACAAACAGAGAAAAAGACAGGAAGACAATGGGAGAAAATTTTTGACAGCCTTTTGTCATGGCATGAAGGGGTGACAACACATGAACTGATGCACACAGCTGCGAATCACATATTGTGGAAAAGCATGATCGCCCATGCCTGTCGGCAAGGCACTTGATGAGTATAAATAACAGCTGCACCGTGGAAGATATTCGTGCCTCAACATGGAATATTTTCCAAGACAGCGGCAGGTATTTTGTAGCCAACTTTCCTGTGCAATCATTTCAAATTCTCCCTGCATGGGTTCTGAGGCCCCACTATGGGAAAAACAATAATAGACCCACTGCCTCCCCAACAAGCATGTCCTAAGAGTTGACTAACTGGTGGCTTCTTCGATGTCAGAGTGCATCTAACTGAGAGGCAAGGAACCAACAGTCTGAACACAAATGCCAGAACTGTAAACTGTGCATCATGCAACACTCAAGTTCTGGAACAAGAAGTGAATTAACAACACAATTTTTCTCCCAAGTTTACAGCCAGTGAACATAGAGAAGGAAAAGGAGATTTGAATATCATGGATTGAATTCAGTAAAAAACATATGGCCTCTCTTATCAGCGTTCATCTTACTAACTCTTTCAGACATATTTATTTCCTAAATTCATTTGTTTCTCTTTGTAACACAATTTTTCTCCCAAGTTTACAGCCGGTGAACATAGAGAAGGAAAAGGAGATTTGAATATCATGGATTGAATTCAGTAAAAAACATATGGCCTCTCTTATCAGCGTTCATCTTACGAACTCTTTCAGACATATTTATTTCCTAAATCCATTTGTTTCTCTTTGTAAGCACTTGTTTTGGGGATTCTGTCATGATATCCTGGGAAGTTATGGTTGTTCGTCCACTTCCGGATTTTGGTCTTGTTCTAGAACTTGAGTTTTGCGTACAAATCCGTTGTACACATTTAGCTGATTTACTAGCATACTGTTGGTTTCTAGTCTCTCAGGCAGATGCACTCTGACTTTAGAAAACACCCCTAAAAAGTCACCTCCTATGATATGCTTGTTTGTGGGCAGCTGGAGTATTCTTTTGTTTCTCCGAAATGAGGCCCTCAAACCCAGATAGGGAAGACAGGATGAGTTGAAATAATTTTTAGTTGTTCTGAAAGAGTTAACCCTGGTGTTTCCTGGGGAAAAGTCATTTGGTCCCTTTCATGTTCTCTGTACTGTACACTAGCAAGGCTTTTGACTTTTGACAAAAAAGGCATCAGCACTAGTAGGTGTGAAGTCTTTACTTTGTAACTGGCAACCACTCATGCCATTATTATCCTGCATCAACTAGAGCACTGACAGTCAATTACTGTTGTTATGGTGACTGCCATATTGAATGGAGTATGATAGCACAGAACAGTATAATAGCTATAGCTACAGTGACTGCCTCATCTTCATATGATTCCATTTCATTGCTAAATATTGTATCTGAATACGATCCGCACTTTTCTGTGACGATTTCCCTTTGTCTTCCAATACTAACGACAACTACCCAGATATGTTGAAATGATGTAGTTATTAATTATAAATTTTTTTCAGTAACATTTTACAAATAATAAAAAAACAAAAGTGAGAAAATCGGGAATTAAATGTTTATAGTTTATTGTTTTTAAATTTATAGAAAATAAAGTAGTAATTTTACTTTGCGTTTGATTATTGTTAAATTACTTTGCCATTCACCAACCGATATTCAATTCTGTCTTCCTATAATATATACTAATCTTTCAACAAAATATTAATCAATTATTCCGCACGTGGTTTTTCATCTGCATCACCTCTCGTCATGAAGATTCACATGAACAAAACATAACTATCGTCAGAATCCACAAATACGCACATTCTAATAGCATGGAAACATACAGACAACGAATGACGGCGACTTCTAGACCCCAAAACACCCAACGCAAGCCATCCTGCAACTGTATGCAAATGTTTGACATAATCGAATGAATGAATGAGCAATACATTCCATTCACCTCCATTTACGCCAATGGCAGTGATACCACGACTTCTTGTGATATTAATTACTCTTTTCAAGCAGTCTATTTTATGTTTATTTTCAGATAAACCAAAAGAAAACATCCATAAGTTACAAGTTATGCGGCTTGGGACGGCAAATTACCTGTAAAAACATTATTTTCGGTTTTCTTTTCCTCTTTGATTCTGTTTCTCTGTATGAAGTTTACACACCAAAAGTACAGACATACCAAGGAGGTCATGTGACCAGCTTCCGCTGTTTGCAGCGATTTGATTGGCTACCGGCTCCAAGAGTTGCCGAGACAAAAGGTCATCTTACGTGAGGGCGGGTGTGGGTCGGAGCAGGTGGTCAGGCTGGATACAAAGAAACGGCTGTTGTCTGGGTGGTAGCGATGATGATGATGCAGCTCGTGTCAAAAACCCATGGGCGTATTTTTATTTGCTGTCATTCCGCGATGGTGCCAGGATAATTTGTGCTGCAGGAGCAGGTGGTCAGACAGAATACAAAGAAACTGTTATTGTCTGGATAGTGATATTGTCTTGTTGGGGATAATGCTCATGGGTGTGTTAATAAGTATCAAGGTAAAGCCACTTTTCCACGCCGTCAGGCGTATTGAGCATACAGTGCTAGACCAATATTCTATACACAAAATGGAACTCATTTGGTGATGTGGTCAGTATCAGGTCGGCCGCCTTTACTTCACGGGACTTTACCTGGTATCCATTCAACTCTGGGTCGACTTGGGGTGTGAAATTATTGCAGTTAATCAGTGCTGGTGTCAGGAAATATGTATTGCATAGGCAGGAACAAGTAGTTACACTTCGTCTAAAACAAAGAGTATCAATACTCAAGATTTGATAAACAATGGGAAGGCGAGAAGTATACATCGGTTTTCCACAATTAAAACTACAAAAAGCAAACAAATGACTTTGCGACAAGCCTTAATTAGAAAACAACAAGAAACAACGCAAGAAAAAGATCGTTATAATTAACAAAATCTTCTTCTACAGTATCCTGAGTACTTTAGGTTAATTGTTGCCTTCTGCAGTAATCTGAGTCCTTTAGGTTCATTGTTGCAGAAATCACTCGCCTCCATTCATCTACGCTATTGGATTTCTTTTTGCAGTTGGTGTTTCCGGGTGTTTGTAAATCTGTACCAATCTGTATATTATCTTCCCATAGAGCTATGTTGGCAGGCTACCAGCAAAGTGTCCCAAGTGGGTCAGGTCAAGTGGTAAAGAACATACGAAGAGAGAGACCTGATCCTCCAGATTGGAGTCCGAAGTGTGGGACCGATAACCCAATCTTTGTAAAACCTTATTTTGTCACAAAACAGATACCTAAGCATCGAATTCCGATGGATGTTGAAACAATGAAACACATCTGGAACAATATTAAACAAGTATATTGAAGTTAACTATATGGTCTTCTTTCTTCTTCTTCTTCTTCTTCTTTTTCTTCTTCTTCTTCTTCTCCTTCTTCTTCTTCTTCTTCTTCTTCTTCTTCTTCTTCTTCTTCTTCTTCTTCTTCTTCTTCTTCTTCTTCTTCTTCTTCTTCTTCTTCTTCTTCTTCTTCTTCTTCTT